CATACACTCCGATATTTACGAGGTTGTGCGCATTCTTTTTCATTATTCAATATTAGCAATTGTTCATATACTTCAGTCCACGATTTAATATTGTTAACAAGATTTTTTCGAATGGCAATAGAGACTCCTCTCTTAGCTCTGTTATGTTTACTCACTCCATTGTAGATATGTATGTATATAGTCTCCTATCTCTTCATTTCCCTTTTTCTTCCTCTCGGTGAGAATACGTATATCTATTTTTCTTTACGCTAATTCTTTGAATACTCCTGATTGTTTGTCCTTGTACATTCCATGTAGCCAATATCATTTTCCTTTTCCGTTGCATTAGTCGTCTTTGTTTTGATCCATCCTTTGTATTCCGAGGCTTTTGGTCGAAATTTTTAGCATTTATCCGGGCTTAGGACCGGCAACGGCATTTACTGAGCTACTCAATGTTATAATAATTTTCTAAATACTATAAATATGCTTACAATTATTGCTTATTGGCCGATATGTATTATTTTTTGGTTTCTGCACAATGCATCCACTCACCAAAACAACATTTCCCGGATTTTGTATAGTTTAAACGAATTTCTCTTCGCTAGTTTTCTGTGTTATTATGATTTCGACGTGCCCGTTGTTTGTTTTCTGAGCGATTTATTTGCTGTTTAAAAGTGTAACATAAACACAAATTCTGCGTCAAAAACGAAAATAAAATAAAAATACTTTTCGGTTAGTTTTTTGTAATCTCATCAGAATTCCCGCATAGTATTTTAGTGAATTAACTTGGGAAGCTGAAAACAACAATAATACTACAATAGGGATCATTTAAAGTTCATTTCCTTAATGGAGAATGGGAAATATCCACAATAATCCTACATTCGATAATGGCAGATCGAAAAGATATATAGTGAAATTATATAAATATATATGAATATTGAATAATTGCATTTACGTTTTCTATTGGCTGTATTTTTCCCTCGTTTGGAGTGTATTGAAACAAATTGGTTATATAACCTCTACCGTGCATATGTATTTCGAAGATCAAGTTTCAGAGCTTTGAAAATGGCCGATTTCGTGTTTTTTTTTCAAATTATAATTTGAAAACAAATAAGGCTCCGGGAGACGATGAAATTCTAATTGAAATGTTAAAAGAAGGAGGGGAAAAGATAAAAGACTACCTAAAGATACTTTTCAATAAATGTTTGTTTAAAGGACAAATACCGCAAGAGTGGAACAAGGCAAATACAATTCTGATATATAAGAAAAGAAATAGATCAAAATTAGCTAACTATAGACCAATATCTCTCTTGTCACAAATCTATAAAACTTTCACTAAGGTGATCACAACTAGACTAAACAACAAATTTGTAACCAGTTGAGCAGGCATGATTTAGAAAGGGGTACAGCACAACCGACCACCTTCACACTCTTAAACTATTGATAGAAAAGACCAACGAATACAACCTTCCAATATACCTAGCGTTTGTTGACTATGAAAAAGCGTTTGACAGCATAGAACTATGGGTAGTGGAAGAAGCGCTAGTTAATTACCGAATAGATTCACGGTACAAAATGTTAATCCAAAATATATATCAAAACGCCACTATGAGAATTCAGTTAGACAGAGATTTGCAAACTCCATTATTTAGAATTTGTAGAGGTGTCAGACAAGGGGATACAATCTCACCCAAACTATTTACTCTGGCGTTGGAAGATATTTTTAAATATATAGACTGGGACGATAAAGGGATTTGTATAAACGGGAAATATTTAAATCATCCAAGATTCGCCGATGATGTACTTCTGATAGCAACAACTATGGAACAACTACGAATAATGATTTCAGACCTAGAAAAAAACATTTCTTGACAAATGACTACAAAATGAATCTACTTATGAAAATGACTACAATAATTTCATACCAGTAGGTTGTCTTCTGACAATTGTCTCGCCAATTGTCATCGTGAAAACGCGGCTTAAACACTTCAGGAAAATTTCTTTGCCAACTGCCATTACAATTGGCCTATAGTTGTCTCCGGGAGTAGATTGAGGACAATGAGCTGCGCCGAGTGAGTCCCCCACCACTCGAAATCTCAATTGTCGCGACAATTGACGCCGTGTGAACGGTGTAGGCCAGTTTAGTGCTGTCTTGTTTTTTACCAGTTCCCTCTAGTTCTGTTGTGTCAGTCAAAACATACACGTGGTTTGTGTTATTTGTAGCTGTCTACTGCCATAGCAATAGTTGGTCCCGTATAAACATCTTCTCGTTCAACTGGACTGGTCTCCGACAATCCGCAACTACGTGATGACAATTGTCCAATGACAATTGTCTCGCTAATTGTCATTGTGTAAACGCGGCTTTAAGGACATGACTTTAAAATAGTAAAAAGAAGTAGGCAATGAACATAATTTTAGTAAAAAAGTAAAAGAAGGTTATTAATTTACTAAAAAAATATATTTAACATAATTACCACAAAACAAATTTTAATAATGATTTGGTGAGAAGCCCACTTTTATGAAAATCCAGTAGCAAAATCAATTAAAAAATACAATACCATTTCTATACATCCGACGACAAAGGAATATTCCGTATAGAGCTAAACATAAAAGAAGGCACTAACTTTTAACAAGCTAAAATCTTCAGTAAAATCGATAAATGTGTTACGTAAAATTATTAAAAAGAAAGTTGGGAATAAAAAATGCACAGTAAATACAAAAACAGTTTTAAAACTTAAAAAAAAATCCAAAAAAGAAGGTATATACGTATTGTTCGCTCTCATTCAAAAATGGTCCTAGAATAACTTTTCTTTAATTTGTGAAAAATTGATAGCGAGATGAATATCGAAATGGCATTATTTCATGGTAAAATTATTAACGAAAATTTTATAAACAAATTAAGCCATTATTTAAACTTAGCTTTCATCATCATCCAGACTCAAGAGTCCACTGCTGAACATAGGTCTCTTCCTCGTGTTTTCAACCCCGTCTATCTTGCGCCGCTCTTATCCAGTTTGTATTGAGTCTTCTCAAATCCAGTCCATCTTGTAGGTGGTCGACCGACGCTTCTCTTGTCTTCCCTTGGCCTAAATTCCAATAACCTTTTTGTCCATCGCCCATCTGTCATTCTGGCTATGTGTCCTGCCCATCTCCATTTTAGTCTGGCTTTCTTCTCGATGATGTTAGTCACTCCGGTTCTTCTCCTGAGGTCTTCGTTGGTTATTCTGTCTCGCAGAGTTATTCCTAACATGGACCGCTCCATTCTTCTCTGCGTGACTCTCAGTTTGGTAGCTGCGGCTTTTGTTAAGGTAAGTGTTTCTGCTCCGTACGTCAAGACTGGGAGGACGCACTGATCAAATACCTTTCTCTTTAGGCATGTGGGCAGCTCACTTTTAAAAGTTTCTCTCAGTTTTCCAAATGCTTCTCCCCCAAGGCCGATTCTTCTCTTCAGTTCATGAGTCTGGTTATCCCTGCCAATCATAATTTCATGTCCCAGGTATTTATATCTATCTACGAGTTCTATTTCTTTCCCACTAATACTGATGTTCTGGTTGGGTACCAAATTGGTCATGATTTTTGTTTTCGAGATATTTATATTTAAACCTACCTTTTCTGTAGCCACAACGAGTTCCTGTACCATCTCTCTTGCCATACCTAGATCTTCAGCTATTATAAGTATATTATCGGCGAAACGTAAGTTGTTTAGATATTCTCGATCTATTTTTATTCCCTTTGTCATCCAATCCAATTTCTTAAAAGCATGTTCTAGCACCGTATTAAAAAGTTTTGGTGACATTGGGTCTCCTTGTCTAACCCCCCGTTCTATTTTTATGCGATTACTGTTAGTATGTAATCTGACAGTGGTTGTTGCCTGCAGGTATATTTTATATAATAAGTTAGTATATCTATAATCTAGCCTGCATTCTTTAAGCGCCTGTGGGGTTATGGGGTTATAATTTTGAAAATGGTATTTCAACTTTCATATCTTGAAAATATAGAAAAGGCGAACAAAATGAGATTTTTTAAGGTGTTCTAAGGGGACGGAAACAACCGCGTTTTTCATTGTCAAATAAACAATTGGAATAACTTTTAAATAAATAAATATTTTTTAACAAAAATTTATGTGTACCTTAAAGGTGTTAAATTTTTATGTATCTTTTGTTATTATTTATGCCTATTTATTACTTCTACAAGTTTTTGCAGTTGTTCGCAATTGTTTAAATAAATTATTAACCAAATTTAATTTAGAAGGTCCCAAATGAATCCTTTTTTTATAACCTTTCAAAAAAAAACAAAAATGAAAACTTCTAATTAGGGAAGAAGTATTGAAAAAAATTATTATTATTATTATTGAGTTAATGCCTCGACAACTAAGATCATTGGCATGGTACAGTCAGGTACCTAGTGTAGTGTGTGTGTAGAGTAATTGTCTTGATACAAAGTCGACGTCATTGTCTTTGCTAAGAGACGCTAATTGTATCCTAACGTCTGTGGTCCCTCCGGTGAGTACCGATCGCACAAGGATAGAAATTATTTTCATTCATTAATTTTTAATAAACGAAAATTTCTCCACCCAGATGAGATTCGAACTCACGACCTTTAGGTTTAAAGGTAGGCGCTCTTACCACTGAGCCACAGAGGAGGTTTAAAAAAAATTAAAAATAGTGATTTTTCGGTTATTTTTGCTGGAAAATTAATGTTCAAACAATGACGCCGTTATTTTAAACTGATACTTTTGACTAAAATCCATAGTTTCATACCAAAACTTCAATTTTTTTTCAAGAATTCGTTCTGAAACGAATCATTTCACGTTTTATTTTTTGTTTATTGGTCTACATTGCTCAAACATAGACACATCATTTAATAGCTTCTATTATTTGGAAGATTAGCAATGCTGCCCTGTGTTTCTAAAATATCCAATTATATAAAATTTTCCTTGGAGTAGTTGAAATTGAATTGGAAATATAAATAACAAAAGCTTCTACAATGTTCTGACTTTAAAACCGTGTTTATTGTTTTAGGTGATAGCGTTCATATGCGGGCTCATCGTAATCATTTTGATGATTATGGGCCTGGCGTCGACTGACTGGCTGATGGCGGCTGGATGGAGACAAGGTCTCTTTATGCACTGCATAGAAGAGGACGCACCACAACCCCTACCCTTTAGTATACAGGACCCTGCTGGATGTTACCAGTCTAGAGATGCAGGTAAGTAGATTATAGGAAGATATGCGTTCTTGAATGAGACATATTCTCTTCTTACACCTGTCATTATGTAATGTAAGCGTAGCAAGTGAGTGAGAAGTTGGAATAAAGGGATAATGGAACAATAAGTAGCATAGAAAAGATAATAATTATTCGAGATAATTATCATATATTCCAAATTAAATAAGGGATAATTAATACAGTTAACTTATACATTTAAATTATACAAAGTATAACAATTGACCTAGTTATTGCATTGTTTGATAATTGTTTAAACGTATAAAAAGCACGAAACATCCGTGACCCAAATAGGCAGCAATAATACCAAAACTGCAACTCAGCGAACCTACGACCTTGGTACTAGAACCGGCGTTGAAAGTACGACCACAATAAAACAAGAAGAAACGACGGACGCCGGGCAGTTAGTAATGAGTAGTGGGTAGTTAGTAGTCAGTCAGTGAGTAGTGATAACGGGGGCGCCGTAACGGCCCGCCCAGGGCAGTGATCGCCGGACGCGATAGCGTCCAGTACGCGAGACAGTCGGTGATTTTCCGGGGGCCGGGTATCTTCTGTCAGAATTCGCGTGTAGTCCGGTTATTGTGGCAGCTCGAAAGTTCGCAACCCTCAACTGACCGAGTTCCAGAAGACTGAACGTGTCGTGGTTGAAGCCCTAATATACACATAAGGTAACAGATTTCTTATACTAACCTGTGTAATTATATTTGTACCTCTGTCAACTTTTCACTATCTTGCTACATCGTCTCCCGACGCGCAGAATAACGTGTTAACGATTGTATTAGGAACTTCAGGGTAGATTCAATATATTGTTGACTCTAATATGGTTTTTTTTTAATGTTCCTTCGTCCGACTCACTAGAGACTAGGAGAACACGAGAATTCTGCGTATACATATCTCCGGCTTCAAAAGTAAGCCCATAACCTCTACTCTTTACAGGACCTGAGACCGAGGAGTTCTTACCCCTATCCCGAAATCCCTTATCTTCTCGTAAATCCACGAAGACGAGCCAGCCCTCCAGACCAGTGTGACCAGTATTCCTTGCAGCCGCTCGCAGGGTTAGCATCCCTTGAGGATCTATTGTATTTTACATTTGGTGACAGTCTTTACAGGACCCTATACATAGAAGTCCTTAATCCCTCTCCACTTCTCGTAAATCTGTCCCAGATTATTACAATTATATAATAAGTTAACTTATAATATGTATATTCTAAATCATGCCGATATTGCGATATTACAAAATATTTCTGAATGTTATGAAAATAAGTCTTCTACTCACAATCCGTTATGGGTTTTATTAAATTATTAAACTTGGTAAAAGAGAATGGACTACCAGATTCGCTGTTTACAAACTTTTATAGCATCTTCAGGCCCTCAAGAAACTAAGAATATTAGTACAATTCTAATCTATACAGCAAAAAGAATATAATCGTTGTTATATATTCTACTTACTTAATTATTGTAGCATAACCTCGGTCTTTCAGGTACTCTCGGGACAAAAACATAAAACATAATATACAAACATACAACACAAATATGAAAATTAATATAAGTTTCACAGTTTGTCAGACCATATGAGGGTTAACTTATATTAATTTTCATATTTGTATTGTATGTTTGTGAATGTTTTTTATTTTTGACCTATTGACATTACGCATCGTAAATAGTAGCTATTTTAAAATTTTAATAACCGCTTAAGCTTGCATAACGTTGACAACGTACTAGCCCGCCTAGTGCTTTTGATTCTGCAAGGGCGAAAAACTATTTGCGTGACGCAGTGAGCAGAAAACTGTTCTATTTTGAGCAAACGGTGACTGGTTTCTGCATCACGATAATTCACTATAGTGTATTTTTATGTATGAGAGAGTAATAAAACAATAAATTATGTATGCAAATCCCTAAACTGTTGATACGGGTGACTCAATGAAAAACAGATATTTGTCAACAAGTTTACAGAAGTATATAGGAAAACAATTTTAAATTAAGTATGACCACCAGGTATAAAGGTTGGAGCAGAATAGAATACAATAGTTGTGAGGGTTACTAATCCCTAAATAAGGTTGCCAGTATCGGAGTGATGGAGGTTAACAGGTACTAATGAATTTGAAAGAAATGTAAGATGTTTATTTTATTGGTTATATATAACCAATAAAAGTTTAATAAGTACCTACCTATTTGCAAAATAAAGTTTAATTCTTTAGATAAAATAAAACGTTTTATTTTATCTGAAATGAGTGCATTCCACGAAGTAAGGGTTTCAACAATCAAACATTTAATTCTTTAATTCCAGGAATCTACGACAGTAATTGACTAGATAATTACCTTCTAAACTTATTCCACAGAAAATGTGATAGTGGGTTTTTCCATTTTGTAGGAAGGTCCAAGTGGCGTATTCAAAATTTTTAACAGTTCACTAAAAGTAGGTACTTCAGTTGCAAGGTGCAGTTTATTGTGTATACTAGTGTTATGGAAAATTTGGAAGTGCCGTGTAAACGCCGAAAAATTGGTCCTTTAACAGTTAATGAAAAAACATTAATATTTAATTGTTTTAAATCATTTACAGACAAACTTTTATGTGAAAGTGTTGATGAGACCGTTGAGTTGGTTAGCAGTACACTTGGTGTTGGGAAATCTACGATTTACAGAGTTATTAAAGAAGAGAAATGTGGTAGTTTTCAAATGCCACGTAATGCTCCAGGGAAACCAAAATTTCAAATAGAATATCATTTTAAAGGATTTCCCAGAAATGAGTCGAAGTACGTTATGGAAACTTTTAAAAGAAATAGGCTTCCGCTGGAAAAAGAATCCCAGAAAGTCTATTTTATTAGAAAGAAGCGATATTGTCATATGGAGAAGACATTTTCTAAGAACCATAAAGGAAATGAGAAACCAAAAAAAGAAAAATATTTTATCTTGATGAAACATGGATCAACGAGGGTCATACACCAAATAAATTTTGGCAGGATGAAACTGTTACAAGTCAAAGGCACGCTTTTGTAAATAACTTATCTACTGGTTTAAACCCACCATCAGGAAAGGGACGCAGGCTGATAATAGTACACATTGGCAGTTCAGACGGTTTTGTTGAAGGTGCTTTATTAACTTTTGAATCAACTCGTACCGGTGACTACCATGAAGACATGAACGCTGATGTCTTTAAAGAATTGTTCGAACAAATGATAGATCTTCTTCCTAAGAACTGTGTAATAGTAATGGATAATACAAGTTATCACTCCAGACTTATAGAAGGACTGCCCACAACCAAGTGGTTAAAAAAGACTTGCAGAATTGGCTGAGTTCAAAAAATATTACGTACCACCCTGGATCTATAAGAAAGGAACTTTATTCGTTGTGTGTCCTTCATAAAGAAAAATTTAAAAAATACGAAATTGATGAAATTGCCAAAAATCGTGGAATGACAGTACTTAGATCAACACCATATCATTGTGAATTAAACCCGATTGAACTGGTATGGGCACAGATAAAGAGTGAAGTTTCAAGAAAAAAGATCACTTTTAAAATTCATGATGTTAAACAGTTGTTTTTGGAGGCCGTAAATAATGTAAAACCTGAAAACTGGGAAAAGGCAGTAAATCACACTATTAAAGAAGAGGAAAAAATGTGGAAGCTGGACAATATTACTGATAATATGATCGAGCCAGTTATTATAAATCTTGGTTCTAAAAGTTCATCTTCTGAATCTGATTTGGATTTGTAACAAGTATCTGTAAGTTTTATATTAATATTTTTATTCATCTATTTAACATACCTTAGACGGTTTTAAAAACTCTTTTTCTCTTTTGTAATTTTTAAAAATTAAAAAAAATGTGAATTTTTTAAAACCCTTTTTAATGTAGGAGAGTCAGTTCTAATATAGTGTGTGATAAAAGAGGTCACTTTTGTTTACATACACATAACACTTTATAACACTGAATTAATTCATTTATTTTTTACAATTATTCAAAGTAATTTTTCAATTAATCTTGAGCACGCCCATGGAGTGGTTGGAGATACCAGTTAAAATTATGCTAATTACTCTCTCGTTCATAAAAATAAACTATAGTATATCGAACTTTCGAACTATCGAACTAGTAGATCGGAAAATTTTTATACACATTTTAATGATTGATTGTTGTTACTGCCGATAAAAATTCGAGTAATAATAAATGTATAAACGTTTCCATCAAAACTACATCTTAAGAAATCAAGAAATACTTTTTATGCACTCTAAATTTGCATATATACTTTCAGATCAGCATAATGAAGTCCCATATACAGTACAAATTATAATTTTAAAATATTTTCCGTTAATATATGCTTAATTGATTGCATGTTATTCAGTATTCATGACATGGAAAGTGTACAGAGTAATAAAGATAATGTTTCCTCAATAAAACACCTTCCTTTTATGTAACGCTGCTGTGAATCGTCAAATTTTGTATTTACATTATTTAGTAAGATAATTTTCCGTAATCACATATTCTGTGGATAATCACAATGTTTTAAGATATAATATATGCTTGGCCTCCAAGAAGCTGCGATTTAACACCGTTGGATTATTTTTTATGGGGCTATGTTAAGTCATTAGTATATGTGAACAAACCACATCTATTGAAGAGTTGAAGAGGAACATAGAGCACACCATTCGTGAGATTAATGCGGATATTTTGCATAAAGTGACCGAAAATTGTGTTCATCGGATTCGCTCCTGCAAACGTAGTCGCAGTGGACATTTGAATGATGTGTTATTCGGAACATATTTGTTATCTATAATATAAATATTTTTTTTTATTTACAGCAATTTTTACGGTTTTCGTTTAAAAAAAAAACATCAGGACATTGGAAGACCTCTTATTTCTGCAAAAATCCGAATACCACCTCGTATCAAAATTTAATCGATTTTTTACAGATCCGCTCTGCTCTAGTAAGAATTATTCTCGGACAGTAATTAGGTATATCCCTTCGTTTCACATTTTTGTTTTAATTCT